ATTGAAGTGGCCCGGACAGAGAAGGGAATATCTTTGTGCCAAAGGAAATACACCTTGGATCTCTTGAGTGACATGGGCATGATGGGATGCCGTGCAGCCCCTACGCCGATTGAACAAAATCATCAAGTGACAGCTCAGTCAGGCGAGCTGGTGAATAAGGAAGATTATCAGAAACTGGTTGGGAGGTTATTGTACTTGTGTCATACCAGGCCTGACATTACGTATGCCGTGGGTGTGGTGAGCAGATACATGCATGAACCAAGGAGTGGGCATCTTGATATTGTGCACAGAATTCTGAGATACTTGAAGGGGACTCCAGGTAAAGGGTTGTGGTTTGCGAAGAGTGGACATCTTGAAGTGGATGGCTATAGTGACTCTGATTGGGCCAGTTGTCAAGATGATAGAAGATCAACTTCTGGCTACTGTGTGTTTGTGGGAGGAAACTTGGTGTCGTGGAGAAGCAAGAAACAACCTGTTGTGTCTAGATCAACAGCAGAAGCCGAGTATAGAGCTTTATCTCAAGGGTTATGTGAGATGCTCTGGGTGAAGTACCTACTGAGCGAGTTGAAACTTCTGAGGAAGGGACCCTTGAAGGTGTGGTGTGACAATCAGTCAGCTATAGCTATTGCTAATAACCCAGTTCAGCATGATAGGACAAAACATGTGGAAATTGATCGCTTCTTCATTAAGGAGAAACTTGATGCTGGTATCATCAGTCTTACTCACGTCAGCTCTGGGCAGCAGTTTGCAGATTGCTTGACAAAGGGACTGGGAACGAAGGACTGTAACTTGGCATGTGACAAGATGGGGATGATAGATATCTACCACCCATCTTGAGGGGGAGTGTTGAACCGGTATGGGCCCAAGCCCATCAAGCCTTGTCACTTAGGGCCCAAGCCCATGTGGAGGTACTGACCTAGAAGGAGGCATCCAGTCCTCCCGTTCTCAGGAGAGCCGCCACACACACATACGAAACAGCCAAAACAAGGTGAGTCTGAGACACAACAACAGGTCTCTCTCCCGGGTGGTTACTAGTATGCACAACTGGTTAGTTTACAGTTTTCTCCATGCTAAATACAAGTATCATGTTTTGATAACAGTAACACATGGCCGAGACCAGCAGTTGCGAGGTCTTATGAATTCACCATATGCCAAATTTGTAGTTCCATTAATTACCATTGGCGGTACTTTCTTCATTCATTATAATTAGCAACTACTTGTGCTAATGGATAAGAGTTTTTGCCATACTTGTGCCATCCAGGACCGGAAATACGTGACAGTAAAAAGTCGTGTTCTGCACCCTGAATTCCGCGGTCGAATGGTATATCCTTGTTCCTGATGCCATCTTCACCCTTCTGCAAAGATCCTGTCAAAACAACTTCTGTCGTGATGCCATCTGAAATTCCATTATGTTGACTTGCTCAGAAATAATGTCTGACAGTTACGTGCATTGTTTTTGTTACATTGTCTGCACTGCCAGTGCATTTGTATGCATTGTACCAACTCATCATCTTTGTAATTGTACCTTTATTACTCTTTCTCATGTCTCTTATCAAGATGAAATGATGTCCTTACAACGCTGTACATTTCATGGTTTTGCAAATGCCCAAGTACACTTCACCTGTTATTTCATTTTTCTGCTGTTTAATTTTTTTTGCATATTGCTTTAGCCTGTGTTTTAAGGCGTTCTTTCAGTTCACCTAGCTGAGGTTGCACTATTTCAGTTTTCTTGTGTATGAGATTTCAGCTTTCTATGTCTAATTTTTACACATGCTCAACACCATCTGTTTTTCAGGTCTCAGCATTTCTTTCACATCTTTTCTCTGAGATTGCCGATTACAGCTTTACTGCTAACATGGAGACGGAGGTACTAATTTTTTTTCAGCCTGTAGCTTATCTGTACATTTTTTGTGTGCATGTTCTTTGCTATGGTTTCAGAAACCAGCTTAGCTAGTGGTTTAGGATAATATGAAATTCCTGGAAAGCTGCAAGTTGATTTCAGTAGGAAGTTAGATCCACATACTTTGAAAAGAACGGTTATACCGTGTTCATTTTTCCTGTTGTTTTAAATAATACTATTATCAATATTATTTAGAAATGTGTAACTGGTTCAAAATATGCAAAATTGAGTAGTTTTGGGCTTTTGTCCTGTTGTTACCTCAGCATTATGGCTGCAGAATAATTTAGGAATTGTGATTCTGAATCCATTATGGGAAAACTGGTTGTGGCAAGTAGCCATAAAAAAACTGACTGGTAGTTGTACAATAAATTAAATCCCTCTACCCAATGTTGGCCATCTGGAGATGTGCAACCCTGTTCGTCCATTTAAACAATATGAATCTGCACAGTGGAGTTCCACTAAAATCATAACTGAAGGCAGGTTACTATCAAATGAATTGTTTAGAAGGAGAAAAGGCTTTTCATCACAATTTACAATGGAAATACAATACGAAAAAACTTGGGAGATATCCAAATCGGTCAATAAGCCTCCTTGCATGTGTGTGTGTGTGTGTGTGTGTGTGTGTGTGTGTGTGTGGTGTTGATGTTGGTGTTGGGGGTCTGTACAAACCCTTTGGCACTAGATCATGGCAATCTGTTGAAACCTCGACTACAAATTATTCCATGAATTTTCTGATGAATGACATCTTCAGAATTTTTATAACCAACAAATGAGGATAATCATTTCTTCTGGATCAATTTTCTACACTTCCAGCAGAGTGCCTATCATAAACCTGGTTTATCATTGGTGGTAAACATGTAAAGAGGGAGGTCAGCAGTAGCGACTTGGGGTAGAATGACTCTAGATGGTGGTCACAGCTTGGGTGAAGAGATCTAGAATAGCCAGCCAAGGGAGAGACCAACGGTGGACTTTAGGAATTTGGCAAGACTTTGTTATTTATTACTTGATGAAAATAGATGGTAATATCATGCTTATATTGGCAGCCACCTGACAAGGATATCTAGCGCGACAAATCAACTAAAGATAATACCGTATCCAAACTAACCAGATGTGAAGATATGCATCTAACAAATGTTGGAGTTGTGTCGAATATTGCGTACAAGGTAGGTCACAGTTGGACTCTGAGTTGTATTGTGTCTAGATAAGGTACGAGTCGTGTCCTAATAGGGCACTTGTATCCTACGCCTCCTATATAATGTGAGGGTAGACACACGATGTAACCTATGCCAACATAATAGCACAGACACACAGGGGGAGCTGGCGGCGTGTGTCGGTGCCTGGGTGGCCGGTGTGCGGTATTGTGATGGTGTCACGGGGAGGAGTGCCCGTAGTCGGCCCCCGGGGATGTAGACGAGTTTGGTGAACCTTGTTAACAAATCTCGGTGTTGTGCCTCGTGTGATTGTTTGGTCCTCTGATGATTGACAACATGCCCAGCTCCACCTTCAGCGAAGACGACATAGGAATCGTGATGCTCATGGTGATCGACTTATGGGCGTGGAAACATGTGGCACATGTCCGAGGGCTTGTGTGGCTTCGACAAGACTATAGCGCGGGGTTGATTCAAGACGGCGTATGCATGAGAGCTTGAAGTCGACGGGGCACGGGGTGGACTGATCATCTACCATGGAGTTATGTTGAAGGTGGAGCTGGAGTTCGACAGGGGATTCCACTTGGTGCTGATTGAGGGGCTACGACGTAAGTTGACAGAGAGTCGAAGCCTATTGAACGGGAAAAGCGAGAGACACATGGTTCAGACTAGAGCCTAGTGGTTCGATGAAAAAGTGAAACTCGTCATCGGTCAGTGATGATCAGTGGTACTCTGCAGTGGGGGTTGAGTGGTGTGGGTTTGCGACCCTTGAGACTCGACGAGATAGCAGAGGCTCTATGCGGTAATAGGCTAATAGCGGCGAGGTGTGCAGTATGCACAGGACATGGGGACGGACCACGGCTCTGCTGGTCAGGCATGTGGTGAGACAACTACGAATTTGACTCGGGATGACTACAAGCAACAGTGAAATTCCTTCAAGTTTTAGACAGGCGGTCGAAAAAGAGCGAGGATGTTGAGTTCAGGTTACTCTTATGTGTGGCATGTAATAAGTGAGTTGTTCACTTTCATGCAGATCAATGATCAGTGTGTGATGGTGTTGAACGGATACTCAGGAAGTTGGGAGCACAAAGTAGAGTAAAGAGGAACAAAATTTTGCTCGAGTGTTGACTGTGATCAACAAAAGAAGGGACTACAGTTGTAGGTGGAGTCACATGGAGTCTAGAAGTAGCAGTTGTACTCATGGATAAGCTTAAGTCCAATGTACATGGAAGTTTGACACATAGACGGATTCAAGATGGTGGAGAATATTTGCCAAGGTGGAGTTTTTTGGAGTTGTGCCGAATATTGTCTACAAGGTAGGTTACATCTGGACTCTAAGTTGTACTGTGTCTAGATAAGGTAGGAGTCGTGTCCTAATAGGGCACTTGTATCCTCGGCCTCCTATATAATGCAATGATAGACACACGATGTAACCTACGCCACCATAATAGCACAGGCACACTGGGGGAGCCAGCAGCGTGTGCCGGTGCTCGGGTGGCCGGTCTGCGGTATTGTGATGGTGTCACGGGAAGGAGCACCCGTAGTCAGGCCCTGGGGATGTAGCCGAGTTTGGTGAACCTCGTTAACAAATCTCGGTGTTGTGCCTCGTGTGATTGTTTGGTCCTCGGATGATTGACGACGTGCCTCAGATTATTCTAACAACAAATCTCGGTGTTGTGCTGGTGTCACGGGAAGGAGCGCCCATAGTCAGGCCCTGAGGATGTAGCCGAGTTTGGTGAACCTCGTTAACAAATCTCGGTGTCGTGCCTTGTGTGATTGTTTGGTCCTCGGATGATTGACAACGTGCCTCGGATTATTCTAACAACAAATCCAAATATGAAGACATGCAAGCATAGCCCAGTCCAGTGGGGTAGTTCCCATTCCTTGTGCAGTCTCGTACTGAGCTTGGCTGGGTAAGTCCATGACCATGACAGCGTATGCATCACTATTTATCCTTTCTTAGAAGTTTTGATCAATGATCATAGTGGAATCAAGGGTACAGAGTCAAGATGGAATTCTACCCTAAGCCTATGATTCTTAAAGCCCGTATGGAAGCCCAGTTTTGATCTTAATACAGGTGTAAATTACAGGCCTATGAATAAATTAGCTCAGAACTTTCAAAATTCGTTTGGATCCCCTGTTTTGGTCCAACCCCAATACGTCGTATTCCTCGACGCCCGGAAAGTAATAATTTGGTAGGCTGGTTCGGATTTCAATAGAACAAATATCATGTCAGAGTGAGACGCGAGCACCGACCACCACATGCGGGGTGATGCCGGCCGCCACGAGCTCTCCTCCTTAGTTGCTTCTCCAGCTTGTCAATGGCTCCATGCGCTCCTAATTGGTCTAGCACAACCCTTCCCCTTGTCTTACCGGCGGCACCGAGCTGCTCCTCCACCCTTCCTCTGTTGCCGTACGAGCCTCCTTCACTGCCCGCCTCCTCTACTCGCCTGATCTGCTCATGTCTTCTCTATCCACGCCTCTCACGGACAACTCCCTCCACAGCTTCTCCATGCTTGGCCTCCCCAGCAAGATCTGCGGTGTTATAATTGTCAGATGTGCTACTCAATTGAGCATCTTGATCGTTTGTGATATTAAGATTCTAGGTTACCAAATTTGTGATTCAGATATTGGAGCTCTTGTTAGGTTGACCAGATTATGTTGTGTGTTGAATACTGAAACTTCTATTCATCTCCCTGTTCCTGTAATCATGTCTGAGCTCACTTAGTTCTGTGTTTAGCTCAGGATTCCCAGCAAGCAAACTAAATACCTTTTATCCAAACAACATTTACTAGGGAAAGAAATACGAATATATACACTGGTTTTATTGGTGCTCAGTAGAATATTGGGCTATGTGATTTACAGGTTTGAAACTTTACATGGTTTCCCAAACAGAGTACCAGATAGCCCTTTTCCTTAGAGATATTAATTGTAAATTCATAATAGAACCGAGGGTACAGAGTCAATATATAAATCTGCCATAAGGCTATGATCCTCAACTGGATAACCCTTTTCCTTAAAGATGAGAACTACGCTGATGTCCGAATAGGAAACGTGGTAATATGAAGATTTTTCTTTCTTTTGTTAACAGCAAGTAACTAGGCATATGAGAAATTCAGTTGTTGTAATAATCCTGTTAATGTTCCTTTTTCTGGTTCATTAACAGCTAGACAATGTCTCTGCTGGGTCAACTGAATGGAAGGGTCTCCTGAAAGATTACTGGGAACGATTCAGCAAATATTGCGGAGATGCTAGGCAGTGGGATGTCAGAAAGGTAATTTTTTTTGTGTGGTTCCTTGGAAAATATCTGTACCCTTGCACCCAGAAGGTTTTTCACGTAAACAACTACATCTCGCATGTGGTTATTACTCCCAAGTTTTACTATCTCATAGTCAAACCAGCTTTTGTTTGACATATCATCTGAAACTAGCAAGTTTTGCATTTCTTCCAGGGACAAATGATAAGTTGTGGGCTATGACAATTCTCTTACATCTGCGGATATATCTTATTTTGGATGGATAGTTTGTCATTATTGCTTGAAAGGCTGCTATCACCCAACTAAAACACAGTTCTAGAGCCCTTATTCTTATTCAAACAAAATTTTGTATGTATTACCTAATTACCCTTTTTTGCAGTTCTCGCTATAATATTTTCGGAACAGGCTTATAGATGAACAAAGTAAGATGTAACCAGCTCACTGATCCCCCAGCTAAATAGCATACTAGTCCTAGATGGGATTGTTGCACCTCCAATAGGATGTTGAATCCCACCTGAGCTCATCTGAAGTAGCGCAAGGTTGAGGAGGCTGGCTGGGATTGAACTCCACCTTGCTGCTACAAAATGGACAACACTTACATTGAAGGAACTACTTCAATGTGCTGCGCTAGATATCGCTCTAGAGGCGATATAGGCCGATATGGCAGCAGGAGTTCAATCCAAAACTCCTAGAGCACAAGATCTAGTCCAAGATCTTGGATAAAAACATCAAGTCTCTTATAGGTAGTGGGGTACATAGGCTGGTTATGAACTAGAGGTGAGGACTCTAGAACACTCTAGAAAATGTTACTTAAGATTTAGGATTATACTCACAGCTAGAAGACCCTAGAAAACAGGGATTAGACTTGTGTGAGATCTCACATTAGGTGAGATCAATGAGATGTATTTTTTTGAAAATACATGTTCAAACATTCTCAATTTTTTGTAGGCACACATCAATGTTTGATGTACAACCTCAAAAAGTTTCAGCTCCTAATTCGACTTACATTAATAGAAACAAAAAAGACAAAATCAGATGTGAATAACGTCAAACTACTACTCACCTAAAGCTGCCACTATTCACATTCGAATTTGTCTTTTTTGAATCTCTAAATTTACATCGAGTTTCGAGCTGATTTTTTCCGGAGTTGTAGACATACCCCACATGGATGTTGTCAAATAATTTCAGATTTTTTCGGAACGTCTAAATATGATTTTTTGGGGTTGATCTCACGAGTTCACATGTGAGATCTCATGTCTCCCCCGAAACAGTAGCTAAAGCTAAGACAAACAAATAATTAGACTAGGGCAGAATTACCTAGGAGTAGTCAAATGGATTTGTCTTCTGATTTCCTTTTTCTTTTCCTCCTCTCTATTGTTTCTCATCATCATCCCATCCATTGTAGCATGCTATAATGGATAATTATGCAGATCTAGTCCTTTTGATAGATCATTGTTAGTGTAGCAAATAAGTTGCTATCTTATCATCCCGCAGTTACTTAAGTACTCCCTCCGTAAGGAAATATAAGAGTGTTTAGATCACTAACTGAAATTTGAATCTACATTTGAATCACCCACTTTTGCAGGTAGAGAGAATGCTTGAAGAGAAATTCTGTCCTATCCTCTTTCCTGACCTTGACACCGACAGTAGGATTTGCCCTAGGTAAGGCATGCCATAATTATACTTGAATAATTTACTCCCTCCGTCCCACAATATAAGATCGTTTTTCAAGCTAACATAGCTTGAACGATCTTATATTATGGGACGGAGGGAGTATTTAATCCTGTTTAGGAAGTCTAATTTTTAATACTTGCCATTTCCCAAACGTAGATGTTTGCACAGTTCGTCCATATTAAGTTGGCAGGGGAAACCTAGGATGTTACCCTATTTTTTTTTATTTTTTTTTTGCGAACTAGGATGTTACCCTATTATGCGATGCATTAACCATGTTTCTTTCTTGATACTACTTAACTGTTTGCTGAATATCTGCAGTTGTTCTGAAGGAACCCTCAGATTTAAAGTTAGTAGGTATGGAGAAGGCTATTTTATAGGCTGTGATCGACATCCGAAGTGCAAGTATGATCTTGTTATCCCTACTCATAAACATTAAATGCCTTGAAGTTGGAGCTTGATCTCTGCAGTAACCCTTGTTCTCTATTGTTACAAGTTGTAATTTCCACTGCAGTTTCTTGATTATAATTGAATATCATCTTTTTTTTTACGGGGACACTACCAATCATACCTAATGGCTAAACTAATTATGATAGGTACATCGCTCGCACATTATCAGATGAAGATGATGAAAATGAAACCTCCGAGCAAATTCCAAGGTCTTTTGAACCTAGGTTACTTGGTGTCATGCCTGATACAAGTGAAAAGGTCTTTTTTCTTTCAGTCTATATGGCATCTGGCTTTATTTATTTTTCAGGTAGGAAGTGTGTACAACAGTTTTGCTCGTTCTACAGGTCTTCTTGAAACAAGGTCCTTATGGTTACTACATCCAGGTTGGAGAGGATCGGAAAGGGGCATCTCAGAAAAGAGCTCCTCTTTCTGAGGTAATTAACTAATTATTACCGTTTCAAATTGTCTTTCCAGAAACTTATTGCAGATATCTAACTTTTCAGGTCAAAGATGTTGACTCTATCACTATCAAAGATGCAATTGAGCTATTGCAGTATCCAAAAATTCTGGTATTCTTTTCTATAAGGGCGATGCTAGGCGCCGGCGCACCGGCCGAAACGTTCGGCCGGTCCAGCCCTAGCCGTTCGATGCGAGGCGTGCGCGGTTGGATCTGGAGCAAAAAAAAAAAAAACTCGCCCCCAGCTTCTTCTTCCTCGGCACGATCCCCTCGCTTGGGCTGCGCCGCGCCGCGTCTTCTATCCCTCGCCGCCCGTCCACACCCTCGCCGCCCGTCTCCGCCGCCGCTTCCAACCCTCGCCGCCCGTCCCCGTCGCCGCTTCCAACCCTCGCCGCCCCGTCCCCATCGCCGCTTCCAACTATCATCTGCTGGTTGCAGCTTGCAGCGGCGACGCTTATAGCTCTCCCCGGTTATAGCTCCGCCGCCGCCCCTCGCCGTTGATGCTCATGGCTGCAGGAAATTGCGTCGGCGACGGCCGCCAGCCAACCACTGTGATTGCGGCTCGGTGGCGACACGCGCAGGTTGAAGCATTTCGCACATATGATTGAAGCTTTCTCTACAACGGATGCAACTTTTCTGGTTATGCAGTGTATGTTTGTAGCTTTCTTTTTCAATGGTTGTAGCTTTTTTCATCTACGGTCGAAGCTTTTCTATCAAATGGTTGCAACTTTTTTCTTGTAAACAGCCTTGGTTAATGCTTTCTCTATCGTTTCGGGTTGAAGCTTTTTTATCAAGGGTTGTAGCATTTTATGTCGACGGTTGTAGCACTCCGCCATGGCAATGACTGCTTGCAGCTTTTGATGTATCTGGTTGAAGCTTTTTTCATCTACGGTCGAAGCTTTTCTATCAAATGGTTGCAGCTTTTTTCTTTGTAGCAGCCTTGGTTAATGCTTTCTCTATCGTTTCGGGTTGAAGCTTTTTCATCAAGGGTTGTAGCATTTTATGTCGACGGTTGTAGCACTCCGCCATGGCAATGACTGCTTGCAGCTTTTGATGTATCTGGTTGAAGCTTTTTTCATCTTGGTTTGAAGCATTTTGGTTAAACGGTTGTAGCATGAGGGC